AGTGGTGGTGGTGGTGGTGGTGTGTGTGTGTGTGTGTGTTGTGAGGCTTGAACTTGGGGCCTGGGCGCTGTTCCTGAGCTCTTTTCCTCAAGGCTAGTGCTCTACCACTTTGAATCACAGTGCTACTTCCAGTTTTTCTTGTCGTTAATTGGCGACAAGAGTCTTACTTTCTGCCTGGGCTAGCTTTGAACAGCAATCCTCAGATCTCAGCCTCCTGAGTAGCTAGGATTATAGGCATGAGGCCCTGAGTTCAACTTGCCCATGTGCACACACACACACACACTCACACACACACATTCTCTAAATCTGTACACTTTTTTTTTTTGGTTGGTCATGGGGCTTGAACTCTGGGCCTGGGCGCTGTCCCTCAGCTCTTCAGCTCAAGGCGAGCATTCCACCACTTGAGCCACAGTGCCACTTCCAGTTTTCTGATGGTTTATTGGAGATAAAAGTCTCACAGACTTTCCTGGCCCGGCTAGCTTTGAACCTCAATCCTCAGATCTCAGCTTCCTAAGTATCTAGAATTACAGGAGTGAGCCCCTAGTGCACGGCTTGTACACAATTTTTTTTTTAGCAGTTTTATTTATAATTGCTCACACTGGACACAACCCAGGTAGATGGTACATTCATACCACAGAATTTCATACCTCAGCACTTATCCCAAGGAAATTAAACCTTTGTCCACATATAAACCAGCCCAGGAAAGTTTATAGCCACTTTATTTGTAATTGCTCCAAACTGGAGTTATTCCAGATGTCCTTCAACAGGTGAACAGCGAAACTAACCACAGTACATAATACTGTGAATTACTACTTGGCACTAAAAGAACCAAGTTTTGAAACACTTAATAATGTAGATGACTCTTCAGGAAAGGATGCTGAGTGAAAGCCAGTCTTTCAGTGTGACGTGCTCCCCAGTCATTTGCTGACATTGGTGGCAATCTCACAAGAGACCCGGAAGCCAAGGACACTGCAAAACGGTGCCTGGAGCCAGGGAAGCTGTGAGAGAATTCTTGTGTGCTGGAAGAAAACCTGGAGCATAGTCTATTATTCTATTTAAATAACATTTTTGAAATAACAAGATTTTAGCGATGAAGGTCACATTAGTGGTTGCCTGAGGTTTGGGACAGGTAAGAATGATGTGAGAGATGAATGTGGTTATAAAATAATGATGGTGGGGAGCTGGAGGTGTGGCTTAAGTGGTAGAGCAGTAGAGTAAGTAAAGCTGAGTAAGCAAAGCCTCGGTTTGAATTTGGTATCAGCACCTCCAAAAGTGACTTGAGGGATCCTAAGGTATTGGATAGTTCAATATCTTGTAAGTATGGTGGCTAAAAAAAACTCTCATATGGTAAGATTGGACCAGCTGGGCACCAGTGGCTCACACCTATGATCCTAGCTACTCAGAAGGCTGAGATCTGCTGTTTGAAGCCAGCCTGAGCTGGAAAGTTTGTGAGACTTTATCTCTAATAACTAGCAAAAAGCTGAAAGTGGAGCTGTGGCTTAAGTGGTAGAGTACCAGCCTTGGGCCAAAAAGCTTAGGGACAGTGCCCAGGCCCTGAGTTCTGGCACACACACACACACACACACACACACACACACACACGCAGAGTTACCTATTATATAACTTCATTTACATGAAATTTCCAGTCCCAGCTTCCAGTGTCAGTTCTTTCCTTTTCTTTTTTTTTTTTCATCAGTTGTGGGGCTTGAACTCTGGGCCTGGGCGCTGTCCCTGAGCTCTTCAGCTCAAGGCTAGCGCTTTATCACTTGAGCCACAGTGCCACTTCTGGTTTTCTGGTGGTTAATTGGAGTCTAATGGACTTTCCTTCCCCAGGCTGGCTTTGAACTGTGATCCGCAGATCTCAGCCTCCTGAGTAGCTAGGGTTACAAGCGTGAGCCACCAACTCCAGGTGGAACTCCTGGGTCCCAAATACTGATAGTCCTAGTGGTTCAGCTCCCAGGTCTGCCCAGTGTTAAAGGTTGAATGTTTGTATCCCCACAAAACATCTCTGTTCAAACTGAGCCCCTCACCTCCTAGATGAGACCTCTGGAGGTGATGGGGTCAGGAGGGCCCCACTCTCAAGAGTGGGGTTTGTGCCTTATAAAAGGGAAGTTTGTTTGCCCCTCAGAAGATACTTTCCCCAGACACTGAATTTCTTGGTACCTGCATTTTGGAACTTCTGGCCTTCAGAACTATGAGTCAATTCTAACTATAAATTACCCAGTCTAAGGGACTTTCCTCCTCTTCTACTGCCTCTCTCTCTCTCTCTCTCTCTCTCTCTCTCTCTCTCTTTTGTTGGTCATGGTTCTTGAACTCTGAGCCTAAGCTCAGGCGAGCACTCTACCACTTGAGCCACAGCGCTACTTCCAGTTTTCTAGTGTCTCACAGACGTTCCTGCCCAAGCTGGCTTTGAACTGTCGTCCTCAGATCTCAGCCTCCTGAGTAGCTAGGATTACAGGAGTGAGTCGAGTCACCAGTGCCCGGCCCAGCTACTTTTTTTTTTTTTTTTGCTAGCTTTATTTTTCTGAGAGAGAGTAGCCAGGCTGGCCTTGCACTTGAACTCTTCCTGCCTCAGCTTTCTGGGCACTGGAATTATAAACATGTACCAGGACTCCCAGCTTCATTCATTCCCGTGCCCCACCCCCAGCCCCACCCCATGGTTCTGAGGTTTGAACTCAGGGCTTTGCATTGTGAGGTAGGTATTCTATCATCTGAACCATATGTCCAGTCCTTTCGTTTTGTTTTATTTTTGTGCTAGTAGTGAGGACTGAACTCAGAACCTAGTCACTGTCCTTTCGGTGTTTTGCTCAAGGCTGGCACTCCCCTTCTGGCTTTTTGGTGGTTAACTGGAAATGAGTCTCATGGATTTTCTTGCCTGGGCTGGGTATTTTCCCCTCTGTCCAATAGAGCACAAACAGCCTGTGTTGGCGACTTCATCCCCCAGGTCAACCACCATGGCATTGGAGGCGGGCCTTTGGGAGGTGATTAGAATCGGACCAGGTCCTGAGGGTGGGGTCTTCAGGATGACATTTGTCATTTTGTGAAAAAGAGGACGAGAGGCCTGAGCTGGCACACCTGAGCTTGTTGCCTCTCATCGTGTCTTCTGTCATTTATGGTGTGGCAAGAAGCCCTTGCCAGATGTCCACACTATGATCGTGGACTTCCCAGGAGCCAAATAAACACCTGTCTCTTCCTTCTTTTTTTTCTTGTACAGGGATTTGAACTCAGGACCACTCAGCCTATCCTTGCTCAGCTGGAGCTCTACCACTTGAGCCATATGTCCAGCCCAGCTTTTGCTGATTAATAATTAGAGATGGAGTCTCACACACTTATACTTGATTAGCTAGGATTACCAATGTGAGCCATTAAGGTTCTGCTTCTTTGTTTTTCTTTTTTCTTTGCAGTGCTAAGAATCAAATCTAGAGGTATCTGACATGCTAGGCAGATTCTCTACTGAGCCATTTCCCCACCCCACCCCACCCCCCGAGTCCTTATTACTATTTATTCCCCTCTGTCTGGACAAGAAACCTCATCAAAGTCCCAGACTGCATAGCACAGCCACAGGTCTGAGAGCACAGACAGGGGTGGCGCCTGTACCACACCCCTGTGCGCGTCTCCGCCTCACCACTCCCCGCCCGCCAGCTTCCCCACCTCAGGGGAGCTTGCCTTGTATTCACCAAGCCACAGCCAGCACCTGACAGATGTGGGAGCCGGCAGATGTGGGAGCCCAACGTAGGGCGCTTAGCAAGGCCAGGCGTGCTCGGAGCCCTTACTCCCCCTCCCGCATTCTTTTCTGGGGGTAAAGGAAGTACACTTCGCGGAATCCATTAGAGTTAGGTATGTGTGTGCTGATATAGAGGCTTGAACTGAAGGCATGGGCACTGTCCCTTAGCTTTTTCCACTCAAGACTGGAGCTCTACTACTTGAGACACAGCTCTACCCCTTCCTTCTTTTCTTCTTTCCTTCTTTCTTTCCTTCCTTCCTTCCTTCCTTCTTTCTTCCCTCCCTCCCTCCCTTCTTTCTTTCCTTCCTTCCTTCTTTCCTCCCTCCCTCCCTTCTTTCTTTCCTTCCTTCCTTCCTTCTTTCCTCCTCCCTTCCTCCCTTCTTGCTTTCTTCTTGACTTTCCTGCCAAGGCTGGCTTTGAACTGGGATCCTCAGATCTCAGCCTCCTGCATAGCTAGGATTACAGCCATTGGTGCTGAGTTCTGTTATGATTCTGAGGGCCCTGCCTGCTTCCAGCTAACCTAGTAACTTGGTCCGATGTCCACGTGGATCTCCCTCTCCCTCTCTCCCCTCTCTCCCTCTTCCTCTCCATCTCTCCCCTCTCCCCTTTCTTCTTCTCCCTCTCCCTCTCCCTCCACCTTTCCCTTCCCCACCCTTCTCTGCTGGTCCTGGGGCTTGAACTCCAGGCTTGCTTGGGCACTGTCCCTGAGCTATTGCTCTTCCACTTGAGCCACAGTACCACTTCTGGTTTTTCTGAGTAGTTTTATTGGAGATAAGAATCTCAGGGAGGGCTGGGAAGGTGGCTCAGTGGTAGAGCGCTTGCCTTGCATGCCTGAGGCCCTGGGTTCCATTCCTTAGCACCACATAAGCAAAAAGAAAAAAGCCAGAAGTGGCGCTGTGGCTCAAGTGGTAGAGCGCTAGTCTTGAGCTGAAGAGCTGAGGGACAGCGCCCAGGCCAACAGTTCAGGCCCCACACCCAACAACAACAACAACAAAAGGCTGAAGCTGGGTGCCAGTGGCTCACGCATGTAATCCTAGCTACTCAGGAGGTTGAGATCTGAGGCTCACAGTTCAAAGCCAGCCTGGGCAGGAAAGTTTGTGAGACTCTTACCTCCAATAAACCACCAGAAAACTGGATGTGGCTCTGTGGTGCAAGCGGTAGAGCACTGGCCTTGATCTGAAGAGCTCAGGGACAGCACCTAGGCCCAGAGTTCAAGCCCCACGACTGACAGAAAAAAAGGGCAGAAACTCGTGGTATAAACACGGTCAATATTATCTTTTCATCTATTTTGGGCCGTAGGCCCTAGCCTGGGGCAGTCCCTTCAGGCACAGCAGAGGGGGGGGGCCGTTTATTCACACAGAAGCCGCAGGGGGGTTGCGAGCTCAGTGCCTCGCCCGGGTCCCATCTCCCAGACGGCCCAGCCCTAGGTCCCAGCTCTCTGCCCGGACTGCCTAGCGAGCCTGGAGTCCCACAAGTCGTCCAGCGATCGGAAAGGGCTGGGCCGGTGGGAGGAGCGCAGGCTGGGGGACGGCGGGCGGTTCACGGCGAAGGGGCCGAAGTGCTGGGCCGCGAAGGTGACCACGTCTTGGGGTTGGCGCAGCAGCAGGAAGAGCAGGAAATCCGAGATGAGCGCTTCGGCCTCGGGGTGCTGGCGCAGATACCTGGTGTGGCTGAGTCGGAGCTCCTCCTGGGCGGGGCGGGAGGGGCCGGGGCTGGGGGTGACCCTGAGCCCCGGCCCGGGATCGCGGGCGCCCCCCGACCCCCTCCGAGGACGCCCCCTGGCCGCCCGCAGCCGCCTTCACCTTCCGCTCCAGGAACCTGGAGAAGAGCTCCAGGTCCTCCTCCCACACCAGGGGCTTCTTCTCAAACTGCTGCGGCTGCGGCTCATCCTCATCTGGAGGCGGGTGTGGGGAACAAGGCTGCTCACCAGGGCCCAGAACCTTCCTCGGGATGCCCCGGCCCCGGCCTCGTCTCCCTTCCCTTCCCTTTGCAGCCAGCTGTCCGCAGGCCTGGGCCCTGCTCACCCTTCTCCCGCAAGACGGGCATCTTGGAGATGATGCAACACCCCGGGGAGCCCACCTGGACTCTCTTAGCCAGATGCCTGCGACACAGAAGGGAGGAGAGTGAGGGGACCGCCTGCCCTGGCTACCACCTGCCGGGCGCTGAATGGAACCAGCACGGCCAACTGGGCCACAAACCTCCGGTGGGAGGCCATTTTTGGAGGTAGGGCCTCTAGGGGATTACTTAAGGTCATAGAGTGGTTCGATTGCTCAGTACCTCTTAAACAGAACGATTGCTCAGTACCTCATAAACAGAACGATTGCTCAGTACCTCATAAACAGAAAAAGCCGGAAATGGTGCTGTAGCTCAAGTGGTTGAGTGCTAGCCTTGAGCAAAAGAAGCTCAGGGACAGTGGCCAGGCTCTGAGTTCAAGCTCCAGGCAGGACTAGCAAAAAAAAAAAAAAAGAACAGCAAGAGACCAAAGAGAGGTCAAAGACTCAGAAGGAAGGACACGGCCAGGAGAGGCCATCTACAAACCAGTGAGACAGGCCTCACCACACACCAACCCCACTGGCACCTTGACCTTGCTTAGAGTTCCAGCTGCCACAATGGCTAGGGAACACATGTTTCGTTTAAGCTACCCAGCCTGAGGTGTTTTGTTATGGCAGCTGAGCCAAGATACCACAGTGCCCCCTTTAAATAGTCATGCAGGAAACCCCTGTGAACTTCAGCCTCTGTCTTTGGAGATCCTGGGTTGTGTTTCAGATGATGGCACAGAGCTTAGTAAGTATCAGGTGTGTGCTTTAAACCAAACCAAACCAAACCCACCAGACCAAAAAACCCAAATGCCTGTAATGGGGAAGACAGAAGCAGGAGGATCATGAGTCTGAAGATACTCTAGGCCATGTAGGAAGAACTTTGCTTAAAACAAACAAACAACAACAACAAAAAAAAACACATAGGAAAACAGAAGCTGGAGGCTCATGCCTGTAATCCTAGCTAGTCAGGAGACTGAAATGTGAGGATTGCAGTCCAAAGCCAGCCAAAGCAAGAACGTCCATGAGACTCCTATCTCTAACTACCAGAAACCTGGAAATGGTGCCATGGCTCAAAGTGGTAGAGAGCAAGACTGGAGCAAAAGAGCACAGGGACAGTTCTCAGGCCCTGAGTTCCAGCCATATGACCTACAAAAAAAAAATAGGCTGGGAAGGTGTCTCAGTGGTAGAGTGCTTGCCTCACATGCATGAGGCCCTGGGTTCCATTCCTCAGCACCACATAAACAGAAAAGCCAAAAGTGGTGCTGTGCCTCAAGTGGTAGAGCGCTAGCCTTGAGCTGAAGAGCTGAGGGACAGCGCCCAGGCCCAGAGATCAAGCCCCATGGTGGACAAAAAAAAGGAGAAGGACAAAGAGGAGGACGAGGAAGAGAAAGAGGAGGAGGAGGAAATGAACCCCCGAAAAAAACCAAACCAAAACAAAAACCCCAGCAACAAATGTCTCTAGTTGCCAAATGATGTGAGTATAAAAAGAGGTGACACTCACATTCCAGTGCCAGCTCTTGCCCCATCCCACTCCATGCCCCTCCCACATGGAGCACCCATTTTTACATATGATGCCCACCACCACAGGGGCTCACCCGTCAGGGAGCAGGTAGAACTGGCAGGCCATGGGGATGCCCTCTGTCGAGTGTACTGTCTGCTCCACGATGAGCACTTCGGCCTGCTGGCGGCCCACCTGGAAGGTCTGGACGCCCAGGGACTCCTGCGGTGGCCCAAGTGGAGAGAAGATGGTGAGGTGTCTCCACCAGGGGCTCCTCCACCTCACCCTGGCCGCGCCTCCTCCCACCTTCATCCCTCACCTACCATGAGTAATCTTGGGCTCTCCAGTCCCTCCAGTGCCATAAGATTTGTTCCCCCAAGTTAAGTTTGAGCTTCCCCCCTCAGAGGAGTTAGCTCCAGCTCCCCACTGCCAACCCCCACAAAGGCATTCCTATTACCAAATGTTTCAAGAGAAAAATGCTTTACCCCTTGAGCCACATCCCCAGGTATTTTTCTTTTTTAGGGGGTGTGTGGACAGAGCTAGTTAAATCATGTGTTCAGGAAGATGAAATAAATGCACTGAGGAAGTTATCATCTTTCCATCAAAGTAAGTTAACTTTCCCCAAGTGTTCTGGTTGGCAGGTTCCAGTGCAGCTCAGAGGATAAGCGCAGAGAGGCAGCCGGGGGAGAGGGAGGAGGTTCACTGTCGGAACCAGCTGCAGGAGATGAGGGTAGGAGGGGTGAGAGTAGATTTAGATTTGTAGTGGTCTCTCTCACACACAGGCCTGGGCCACTGATGGGAGATTATCCTGTTAACAATGAAAATTTCAACCCTGCTGAGTGCCTGACAGTGACTCATGTCTGTAATCATAGCTACTCGGGAGGCTGAGATCTGAGGATCCCAGTTCTAAGCCACCTGAGGCAGACAAAGTTGAGACTGTTACTTCCAATTAACCAGCAAAAAAACCAGAAGTGGAGGTGTAGCTCAAATGGTAGAGTACCAGCCTTGAGTGAAAAAACTAAGAACATGAGGCCTTGAGTTCTAGCCCCACTACCAGCACACACACACACACATACACACACTACAAAAGAAAAAAAAAGACTATTTTCAAAAGTCAGCAAAAAGCCATGCTGGAAGCATAGTTCAAGTGGTACCAAGCCAGCCCAACAAGCTGAAGTGCTGGAGTTCAAAAACTGGGAGGCCACCGTGCAGAGCTAACACTCAACAGGTATCTAAAAGAAAATAAAAGCTGGCTGTTTATTGTATTTGTGATGCTTAAGACTGGAATGTAATCTACAAGTTTGCTCCGATAAACACAAATATGCCCAGCACCTGTGGCTCACACCTGTAATCCTAGCTACTAAGGAGGCTGAGATCTGAGAATCACGGTTCAAAACCAGCCCGGGCAGGAAACTTTGTGAGACCTTTTTTTTTTGTCATGGGGCCTGCCTGAACTCTGGGCCTGGGCACTGTCCCTCAGCTCTTCAGCTTTTCAGCTCTTCAGCTCAAGGCGAGCACTCTACCACTTGAGCCACAGTGCCACTTCCGGCTTTTTCTGCTTATGTGGTGCTGAGGAATCAAACCCAGGGCCTCATGCATTCAAGGCAAGCACTCTACCACTGAGCACCTTCCCAGCCCTCCATGAGACTTATCTCCAATAAACCACCAAAAAACTAGAAGTGGCACTGTGGCTAAAGTGGTAGAGCTCTACCCTTGAGCTGAAAAGCTGAGGGACAGTGCCCAGGCCCAGAGTTCAAGCCCATGACCACCACCACCAACAACAACAAAAACCCACAAATTATTCCTCATGCTTATATGTTTCACTTCAAATATTGAACGTTGAAGGGCACAGTGTTAAAAACACATGCATCATGCAGGAAGTCCTTGGAATGTTATGAAAATGTAGCAGAAACAAAAGACAAAAAGGAACACTTTTCAGAACTAACAATAAAACAATATTCAGGGGCTGGCGGGGGGGGGGGGGGGCGGGAGGGGAGGACCCTCCGTGGTAGAGCACCTGCCTAGCACTGTACCAGGCCCTGAGCCAGGGTTGTGACAAGCAGCTCTCCATCAGATTTTCAACAGGCTGACATTGTGCCAAAAGCATGGTTTTCCTTGACTGTTCCTTATCTTGTGATCTTTCCCACCAATTTACCTTCCCCATACTTAATCTCTCTGATACCATCACCTCTTGCTTTCTCCTACCCTAGGGTGTCTCTGTGACCCCATCCTGATTCTTCCTCATCCCCACTTCCCCTTCCAGTCCACAGCAATCTTCTCTTTCAACTCTGCACCATTCAGATCCACTTTAGTTTACCCTAAGCCAAGACCCCTCCTCCCCCTCCCCACGCACTCCAACTTCTGGCCTGCCACCCCCCCCCCCCCTGCAGAGTGAGTCTTACATAGGTACAGTAGCAGAGTTTGCCATCACTGTCCAAGGCCAGGAAACGGGCATTGTTGGGCACCATATGCCGCCAGGCCATCACCCTCAGCAGCACCATGTTGGCAGCCTCAGAGATGAAGCCCTTCATTGCTTTCCAAGGGAAAGAACTTGTGCCAGTCTTCACTTCCTGCCCAAACAGATCTGAGTCAGGGTCCTGGAACTAGGAAAGGGCCAGTAGGGTGGGCAAGGGGGCTATGGGGCCCAAGGGCCTCTGGGGCTCCTGGCTCCACAGGAACTTGTTGGTCTCTGCCCAGAGTTCTGAGGTGGATGTGGATGGCGGTTCCCTAGCCTATATCCTTACCTCGCCCTCCTTGATACTTCTCCTTATGACAATCTGGTCATCCTGTTTCAGTAAACTCGTCTTCTGTTCCATGGGCAAAATGAGGAACTAAGGACCAGAATATGCAGGGGACAAGAAGGGACACCATTTAGTCCTTGTGCCCCTAGAGTTTACCTGCCAATTCTTCTTTAAAACTGGAAGAAAAAAAAAACTATGAAGGGTGAAGGTTTTGATTAAAAACAAACAAAACAACAGCCAATGGAAAAAAGCTTGTTTTCTCAGAACACAGGTTTGGCTTAGTGGTAGAGTGCCTGCCTAGCATGCATGAAGCCCTGGGTTTGATTCCTCAGTACTACGTACACAGAATAAGCTGGAAGTGGCATTATGGCTCAAGTTTTTGAGTGCTAGCCTTGCGTAAAAGCAGCTCAGGAGCAGTGCCCAGGCCCTGAGTTCAAGCCCCAGAACTGGCAACAAACAAAAACGCTTGGGAATGCAGCCAGGACCGGTGGCTCACACCTATCATTCTAGCTACTCAGGAAGCTGAGATCTGGGGATTGTGGTTTGAAGCCAACTTGGGCAGAAAAGTCCACGACACTCTAATGAAATAGCAAAAAGTCAAGTGGTAGAGCACTAGCCTTGAGTGAAAAAGCCAAGCGAGATGTGAAGCCCTCAGTTCAAGCCACAGTACAGACACTAGAAATCAAAGCAAAACAGCCCCAAACTTTTGTCAGTGGCCTGTGGGGGAAGGTTGTAAGGCACGAGCCATTCTCAATGGGTAAACAGGTCAGAGTCCCAAATCTGAAGCTAGAGAAGTGGTTGCGGCTTGAGGTGAGGGTCACAAAGGAGTTGAAGGAGGAGGGGTAACAGGCCAAAGGGAAAGGCCAGCCTGCATGACCTGGGGAGTCACGGGCTCCTAGGCAGAAGGCCCTATGAGGTGCATACCTGTACACTGTGGATAGTTCACCACAGCATCCCACATGGGTCAGATGTGTGCAGTTGGTGTTATGGGTGATATTCTACTCAGAGGGCCCCACCCTTCTTTGCAGGGTCTCTGTTCTCTCACCCAGGTTAAGGGGTGAGGCTCCCCGGCCCCTAGGAGGTACCTTGATGAACTCTTGACTGTGTTGTTCCATGAGCTCCAATGTCCTGGAGACATAGCCTGGGATTCAGGGAGGCAAAGGCTGAGGTTGCAGGAGGCCTGATCTGACACAAATGTCAGGGCAGGGATGGCCAGGCTAGAAGCTTGATGTGATGTAGCCTCAGGAAAAACTACTTTCTTGTTCCTTTTTTTTTTTTTCCATCAGTCATGGGGCTTGAACTCTGGGCCTGGGCGCTGTCCCTATGCTCTTCAGCTCAAGGCTAGCACTCTACCGCTTGAGCCACAGCACCACTTCTGGTTTTCTAGTGGTTTGTTTATTGGAGATAAATGTCTCACAGACTTTCCTGCCTGGGCTGGCTTATGAACCGTGATTCTCAGATCTCAGCCTCCTGAGTAGAGGATTACAGGCATGAACCACCGGCACCAGCACCGGGCTATGTTCTTGTTTTTGTCTGTGCGTGAGAAAGATCTCCCTGTCCCCCTTCCCTGTGCTACACTCTGGTCCCAGGGCAAGTCAGGGAAGAGGATAGGGATGGGGACTGGGGACTGGGTGGCAGGAACTGTACCCAGGAGCGCGTTTCCGCTGAGTGTTTTATCCAAGAAGCCTCTGCTAAAGGCGTGCACGAACACACAGTGAGACATGATGCCCAGTTCGTCTTTGTACTTCCCTCTCTCCACCTGTATGGTCAGCTCTCCCTGGGGCTCCCCGGTGTCCGAAATGATAGCCAGAGTCTCAGAGAAAAACAGCATTTGTAGCTCTTCCATACCTGGGAGGGGAGGGGGGCGCAGGTGGGAGGGGCAGAGGGGCAGAGAAGCCTTGCTCCAGTCCTGGTCCTCTGAACCTCAGCACCAGCCCCCCACTCCACTGTCTCCCTGCTGACCCAGCCTCCTCTCCCTGACCATCAGGCCTTGTCCCTTCCTGCCTCCCAGACCTGCACCCACTCCCCTCCACTAGCCCCGACTCACTGAGGGAACTGAGGAAGTTGATGGCTTCTGCATTGGCCTCTGGGAGTGGTGTAAGCTCCTGGCTTGGGGGCTGTTGGTCCTTGACTTTGGGGGTTATAGAGAGAGGAAAGGCTAAAAAAGGGCAGGGGTACCCCAATTCTAGTCTAGCGCCCCCCCCACTTCCCTTGAAAAAGAAGATACTCCCATGACCTTTCTAACTCAAGTAGCCCTTAGTAGTATAGCTCAATGTACTCCCTTACCTGGGAAGTGAACTTTAGAAGCCATGTCTTTAGCCTGGCAGCCAGAAGTCTGCTGCCTCCATGACAACGGGGAGCTAGTTACCACCTCAGTTACCGCCCCTTAAAGGGACATCAAACATTTCACTCTACCCAGATCTCGGAGCAAAAGTCTGACACAACAGGTTCTGGGGCTCAGCTCAAGCGTGAGGTGTTGTCCAGCAGGGGGAGCATTTGACATTCTTAAGAGGCAGGGGAAGAAAAGGACCATTAGAATGACCCCAGAAATCCCGGCCTGTTGGGCAGAGAGAGGCTCAGGGACAGTGTCCAGGCCCTGAGTGTAAGCCCCAGGATGAGAGAGAGAGAGAGACAGACAGACAGACACAGACACAGACACAGAGAGACACTGAGAGGAGAGACAGGGGAGAGAGAAAGGAGAGAGAGAGAGAGAGAAGGAAGGAAAGAAAAGAAAAGAAATCCTGGCCTGTGCCTGCCACAGTATCTAATGCTTGTAACTCCAGCACTTGGGAGACTCAGTTGGAGGATTGAGAGTTCAAATTCAGCCTGAGTTACAAGTTGAGTACCTGTCTAAAAGGAAAAGAAAAATGTGGCGTAGAATCAAGCATACTGCTTCACATGTACAGAAGCCAACTCCCTATTTCATGATTATCTAGGCAGTCTGCAGTCTAATAGGATGATCCCCAATTTACCATTGCTCAGTTTACCATTTTTACTTTTTTTGGCGGAGGTGGGGGGTGGGGGGGACACCTGTCCTGAGGCCTGGGTGGTGTCCCTGAGTTTTTGTCCTCAAGGTTAGCACTCTACCACTTGAGCCACAGCTACACTTCTGGCTTTTTAGTGATTAATTGGAGATAAAAGTGTCACAGACTTTCCTGCTCAGGCTGGCTTCCAACGGTGATCCTTAGCTCTCAGCCTTCTGAGTAGCTAGGATTAAAGGCATGAGCCACTGGTGCTCATCCGAACCTATTGCTATCGATGGATCAGTTCAACTTCAAGTCCTCTCTCTTTCTTCCACCTGGCCCCACAGTTGGCACAGCCTGGGGTTTATGAACCATCAGGTTCCCTGGATCCAGTTCCCACCTGCTTCCAAAGACTCAATCTGTGGGCATGGCCCCACAGTGTGTGAAACTCTCACACACACACAAACACACACACATACCACACACACACAAACACAACACACACACACATCTGCTTTGTTCTGGAATGCTTAAGGTTACTTACTCCTCCTTACATCCCCTTCTCCTTTTCTGTCCCCAAAGACAAACACCTGTAATTTGCAGGGGAGGGAGAGGAGAGTACCAAATTGAACTGCTTGCTGGCTATTTTTTAAACGGTGTGTTATTCAAACACTTTTGAGGCCATGCGTTCATGTGTTCTTTTCTATTAATTAATCATATGTCAAAAGTCTGAGGAAGTATTTTTCAAAGTGGCTTCATATACCTTTTCCCATTTGATCCTCCTTGGTGAAGGTTTATGATTTTTACTGTCTGGAATCATTTCTTGTATTGGGGTGCTTTTTTATTTTTGGTGGGGATCATATCCTCAAAAATCTTTAGTTCAGGGCCGGGAAGGTGGCTCAGTGGTAGAGCACTTGCCTTGCATGCCTGAGGCCCTGGGTTTGATTCCTCAGCACCACATAAGCAAAAAGAAAAAAGCCGGAAGTGGCACTGTGGCTCAAGTGGTAGAGCACTAGCCTTGAGCTGAATTGCTGAGGGACAGCGCCCAGGCCCAGAGTTCAGGCCCCACGACTGGACCAAAAAAAAAAATCTTTAGTTCAGTGTGGTTTAGCTGGCCCTGATACTGCCCAGCCAAGTGTTGTCATATGCCCTAACCTGGTCAGTTATAGAAGCCCATTGGTTCAGGCTTGACTTCTAACTTCTATGCTTGGCTCAGGATTGGCACATGAGCCAAACTAGACCAATGAAACTCTATCCCTGGTACAATGGAAGGTTTTCTGCTAGGTTTGATGAACTAATAGCCTGTAAGGATGGGACTTCTAGAGACCATCTTTCCACTGTAGAGAGAAAGCTCTGACAGAGAATGAAACAGAAGAAAGCAGAGCTGAATAAAGATCTTTTAATCACTGGATCCATCCCTGCCTGAAGCAGGGACATAACCGCATGTCTCAATTCAGGAGGCTGTTCATGCCACAAGCACTCCTTTTGGTTTAAACTACTTTGTGTTGAGAATTTGTACTCACTTATACCTAAGAGGATTCAGACTCATTGTCCTCTGGAAAGCAAAACAAAACCAAAATAAAGACAAGGGTGTGACTTGCCCAAGGTCATTTGGATGCCGAATGACAAAGCTGGGAATTGGACCCCAGGCTTCCAAAGCCACTGACACCTGCAGGCAAAAACACACGGTCTGCTTGTAAGTGGTCACTCTGCAGTCGGGTGTGCTCATCCACCTTTCAGAAGAAACGGCATAACTATATCACCACGCCCAAGGAGAGGCTCAACCATGTCCGAGCTGGCCTGAGGAAACGTGGCACTGGCCAGTGCTTCCTGGTTTTCAGCCGTACCATGCTGCCTTCAGAGTTTGGCCAAAGCCAAGTGTCATTTTTACTTTCTATTTTCCTATCACAAAACATACCTTTAGGACTGGGAAGGTGGCTCAGTGGCAGAGTGTTTGCCTTGCATGCAGGAGGCCATGGGTTTGATTCCTTAGCACCACATAAGCAGAAAAAGCCAGAAGTGGTGCTGTGGCTCAAGTGGTAGAGCGCTAGCCTTGAGCTGAACTGCTGAGGGACAGCGCCCAGGCCCAGAGTTCAGGCCCCATGACTGACAAAAACAAAACAAAACAAAACATACCTTTACATACTTTAAAAAACACAAAACCAATTGTATCAGAAATAGTAAGGCTGGGAACTGGTAGTTCATGCTTGTAATCCCAGCTATTCAGGAGGCAGAGATCTGAGGATTGTGGTTTGAAGCCAGCCCAGGCAGGAAAGTCTGTGAATTTTTTTTTTTTTTTGGTCAGTTGTAGGGTTTGAACTCTGGGCCTGGGTGCTGTCCCTCAGCTCTTCAGCTCAAGGCTAGCACTCTACCACTTGAGCCACAGCACCACTTCTGTTTTTTTCTGCTTATGTGGTGCTGAGTGAAAGGATCCAGCATCACATCCACGCCAGGGGACCATGCAGAGGCAGGCACAGGAGAAAGATGATTACAAGCTTTATTAGAGGAGCCACATTTTCCCCAGAGAGGGAGCACATGGCACCCTTCACTCTCACCCAATAAGATACAGGTCTTTCAACAGCCCGTGACTTATCTGGATGTTCAACTTACTCCCACACACAAGGCCATCACTATCCCCAGGAAACACCTGATTACTAACTACCCTACCCCTCCACTAAGTGGGAGCTTCTCTCCTTTAGGTCTAGCCGGCTATCTCAGGTCTTGGATTCCTAACTACTCCCTTCTAACATGCCCTTTATATGAAGCAGCTAAAGGGCCACCAGAAGAACCCCTTTTATCCCCCTCCTCTCTTATTCCTTCCTTCAGGAGACTCCAAGGGGCCTTATTACAGGCCCCTGCTCTCAGGCTTCCAGATCTTTCACGCCTCTTCTTTCCGTATGTAATTGAAAACCAGGATTTTGCATTGGGATTTTTAGTTCAACAGATCAGACCTTCATTGGCTTATTTGTTGAACGCCTAGACCCCACCACGAGGGGCTGGGCTCCTTCCCTTTGCGTTCTGGCCACCTCTTCTGTCCTGATACAGGAGTGGAAAAAACTAACCTTTGGTGCAAACCTTACTATTGTCTCCTACCATCACCAGTCTGAGTTACTAACCCAAAAGGGGTTACAAACCATGTCTTCCTCCCATATTATCTCCCTTCAGGTGTCGCTGGTAGAGGACCTCATGCTAACTTTCTACTCCTGCCCTCCATTAATTCCCTCTACCCTATTACCCATTCCAGGTACAGAGATCTCACCAGCACACTCCTGTGTGGAGACTCTGGAGGACCTGCTACCTCACTCAGACCACATTAGTGAAAGGGCTCACAGTTCACCTGGTTCACTGATGGTAGCTCCTTCCTTTGGGAAGGCTCACAGGTAGCTTGATATGCTGTTGTGTCAATCTCTGGTGTTGTGGAGTCTCGCCTCCTGCCTCTCCTCCACCGTACCAATCAACAGGCTGAATTAGTAGCCTTAACACGGGCCTTCCACCTGGCCTCGGGACATTCCCTGATGGTGTACACAGACTCTAAATATGCTTTCCGTACTGTCCTTTCTCCTGCAGCTACTTGGAAGGAACGAGGCCTACTAACAACAAAGGGGACCTCAGTAATAAATGGGTCTTATATTACTGACCTCTTAAAGGCCTCTTTCCTCCCTCAGCCACTGGCATAGTTCATTGCAGGAGCCACAGGTCAGATGGCTCAGTAATAACCAAGGGAAACAACCTGGCCTATGAAACTGCCAAGTGAGCTGCTATATCATCAAAACAATGGGCAGTAACCCTGCCAATAATAGAGGATCCTGCTCCTCCCTCTAGGCAAGACATCCTTAATACCTCTACCATCTTTTCCACCCCCCAGATAGGGGCCTTACAGGAGTTCCTAAAACAGAGCCTTCCCTGAACCCCTGCTGACACACAATTCCTCACGCAGCTGTCACAAACCTGTGAAGTATGCCAAAGGGCAAATCCAAATACCAATGTGCAGCCCCCTCCCTTCCCAACAAATCAGGCTGTAGGTAACCTCCCAGGAGTAGATTAGCAAGTTGATTTCACCCATATGCCAACTGTCCCCAGGTACAGATACTCGCTGGTGCTGGTGGACACCTTCACAGGATGGACAGAGGCATTTCCCACCACCAAGAAGGCCTCCTCTGTGTCTCAGCATCTCTTACAGGAAATAATTCCCCACTTTGGCCTGCCTGCCTGCTTCCATCCAGACGGACAACGGACTGGAATTTGTCTCTTCTGTGACCCAGCTACTGGCTAAGTCTCTAAATACCTCCTAGTCTTCCCATATTCCCTATCACCCCCAGTCCTCAGGAAAGGTGGAACGTGCCAACGGCTCCCTTAAGCAAACTCTGACCAAGCTGTCTCTTGAACTACATTTGATTGGCTAAAGCTTTTACCTTTAGCTCTGTTCCGCTTAAGGGTCTTGCCAAAAACAAAACAACACCCAACGTTAAGTCCTTTTGAAGTTATGTATGCCTGCCCCTAGTTCAGACCTCAGACCCCCCTCAGACTCCCCCCACCCCAACGCTGTCCTCTCTCCTTCAGCACCTGCGCACTTTCCTCTGGAAGTCTGTGGACCGATATGAACCTAAGCCCTCCACACTGCTCTCCGAGCCTTCCCTCAAGACTGGGGACCTAGTGCACATTTCAAGAAATTACCTGCCAGGGGTACCTAGTTCCACCAAGCTCTCTGCTAAGCGGGAGGGACCCTACTCAGTAACTCTCTCTACTCCCGCAGCTGTGCAGGTTCAGGGCTGTCCACATTGGATACACATCTGCCACGTTAAAAGTCACATGCCTGATGGACCCTCATATCCATCTGAGCCAACTGGACCCCTATCTCTACGGATAAAAAAGGTTGTATCCGGTCTTCCTCCAGTCATCGAGGAACCAGAGGACCCTGCTCTGGACAAGTAACGTCTTCATAACATCATGACCTTGGTCAACTTCATGTACAGTAGTACCTGGCACCCCCTCTCCCCTTCATTGACTACAGAACCCCCCTCTCAGCAGGAAGTAGCTCCAGAAGACAAGACCTTCACCCATATTAAACCAAAAAGGGGGGAATGTAAGGAAATGCCCACCTTGCAGACCTAATCTCCACCCTCAATGGCAGTACCTGTGCAGAAGTGAGGCACTCCCACTTCCGGCCCCCAATATAAAAGGGGGCTCCAAGGAGCCAGATGGTGCCATTTCCTCATGAGAACTTGGCCTTGTCAGCTCTGCTGGCAATCGATCTTTTCTTCTACTTGACTTCTGTCCACGTGGCCTTTTTGGGTTATTTTCTACCTAGGTTACATTTTTCCTTCACTGAGGAATGGAACCCAGGGCCTCTTGCATGCAAGGCAAGCACTCTACCCCTGAGCCACCTCCCAGCCCAGCTTGTGAAACTCTTATCTCCAATTAATTACTAGAAACCAGAAGTGGAGCTGTGGGCTCAAAGTGATAGAGCAATAGCCTTGAGAAAAAAAAAAAAAAAGAGGCTTAGAGAGTGCCCAGGCCCTGAGTTCAAGCCCTATAACAAATAAAAAATTAATAAAATATTAATCCCAAAGTACTATGAAATTAAATGATGTTATTAAAATCTAACTAGAGCCAGGTGCCAATGGCTCACACCTGTAATTTTAGCTATTCAGGAGTCTGTGACATGAGGATCATGGTCGAAGGTCCATGAGACTCTCAAGCCCAGAGTTCAAAACCCAAAACTGACAACAACAACAACAAAAAATTAACTAGAGACAGGTACTCAACTAAGGTGTGAGCCTGGAGTCTAGCAGTAAAGTTAGGCTAATGCCAAGGTCATGACCTTGAAGTGCTATTCATGGCTGGGCTGAGGCTTCATACAACCCCACCCCTATCTCTATGGCCAGTGCTACTCTGGGTATCTCAAGCTAAGTCAGTTTACATGGTCTAGAAAGGACTGTGTTTTTTAGGGTGTTATTGCTTCTCAGACTTTTCTGTACAGGCTGGGTTTGAACTATGGTCTTCTGGCTCTCAGCTTCCTGAGTGGCTGGGATTATAGGCATGAGCCACAGTAGGTACCCAGAAAAAGCTGTCTTTAAAAAAAAAAAAAAAAAAAAAGCTGGGTGTCGGTGGCTTACTCCTGTAATCCTAGCTACTGAGGAGGCTGAGATCTGAGGATCACAGTTCAAAGCTAGCCCGGGCAGGAAAAACGGTGAGACTCCAATCTCCAATAAACCACCAGAAAACCGGAAGTGGTGCTGTAGCCTAAGTAGTAGAGAGCTTGCCTTGAGCTGAAGAGCTGAGGGACAGCGCCCAGGCCCAGAGTTCAAGCCCAACCTAAATAAATAAATAAATAAATCATGGGGTTGAGAATGTGGCTTAGTGGTAGAGTGCTTGCCTAACATACATGAAGCCCTGGGTTCAATTCCTCAGTACCACATAAACAGAAAAGGCTGGAAGTGACACTGTGGCTCTTGTGGTAGAGCACTAGCCTTGAGCAAAAGAAGCTCAGGGACAGTGCCCAGGTGCTGAGTTCAAGCCTCAAGACTGGCCAAAAATAAATAAAAAAATATATGTATATATGAATGATGGGGCTTGAACTCAGGGTCTGAGCACTGTTCCTTAGCTTTTTCACTCAAGGCTGGTACTATACCACTTGAGCCACAGCGGTTCTGGCTTTTTTTTTTCTGTGAAAATACAGAGAGATTACAATTACATGGGCAAGATAATGAGTACATTTCTTATCAAGCATTGTTGCCTCCTCCTTTGTTTCCCCTTCCCATCTCCCCCCAGCCAAAGTTGTAAAGTTCGTTTTTTGACATAACGACTTGTACATCTCATTGTTGCAATGGGTCCACCTGTATCCCTATTTAAACGATTTGTTTTTTCCCTTCCCCTCTGCAAATTATAACATCAAATACAGTGAAAGCAGGGGTTATACCGTGGGAGAAGGTTCTGGCTTTTGCTGGCTAATTAGGGATGAGTCTCAAGACTTTCTTGCCTGGGCTGGCTTCAAACCATTATCCTTAGATCTCAGCTTTCCTGAGTAGCTAGGATTACAGGCATGAGCCACTAGTGCCTGACTTTCATTTTGCTTTCAGGGTGGTATTAAGGATTGATCCCAGAACTTTGGGCATGCACGGTAACCAAAGCTTTTAAAGAGTGGTAATGAACCCCAAGTTGTGGTCCTTGGGGGTAGTCAGGAAAACTAGTAAATGCTGTTTATAGCTGTGTAGCAGGAAAGACAAGCAATTGAGTGAGTGATCAGATCATGGATAAATCATTCATTCAACATTTATTGAGCGCCTACTGTGTGCCAGGCACCGTGCTAGGCGCAGAAATAGAGAGAGATGCAGAAGGTACAGTCCATGCCCTTAAGGATTCACAGTCTAGAAGGGGAGACAAACGTGTAAACAAGTAAAACAGGGTGTGTGTGATAAGTGCCACAAGAGAGAAGCATTTACAAAGTGCAGAGGTAGCCTGGAGGGGAGGGGAGGGGTGTGGGGTGCCTTCCTGGGGGAGGGGCTAGGAGAGATGAGGGGCTTTGCCAGGCAGAGGAGGCAGGAGCGGGAAGGCATTCCAGCCTGAAGAAACAGCATGAGCGAAGGCACAGAGGCAAGAAAGTGCGTGTCTCAGCAGCGAGGGACACTAACTAGTCTGGTGGTATTGCTAGAGTGGGTTCCAGAGCTGGAGCTGGAGAGGTCATCAGAGGCCAGATGAGGAAGGAAACTGAGGGCAGGGGCATCTCAGAAGGTCACCAGAGGTGAGCGGAGTCCAGGGGAAGGCTCTGACCCAGGAAGACAAAGGTTTTGGGCTGACCCAAGGTATGCCTGCTTGAGGACCAAAGGCTTCCCACATGGTGCTCTCTCCAAAAGGAATCAAGACCAGAGGAGAAACTGAGCTGGAGGAGGAGAGAAGGGCCAGGGCTGGGAGTTCCTGGAAGCTGTCACTTGCTTGAGCATTCTGCTGCCCAGAGCTCCATCCTCTCAGTGAGGATAGGGCCCAAGATCCAACGGGAACTTGGCAATAAAAAGGAGCCAGAAAAATGCCAGGGTGAAAAAATAAATCTTTACTAACTCAAAGGGAAAAAGAGCCGAGAAGAATGTAAGAGATTACTTTAGATAGAAGAAGGCAGGCAGAAATTCCTAAGAACGGGGGATGAAAGGAGAAGCTGCGTGGGCCCAAGAGGACAGTGGCTCTCTCTCCCCTAGAAAGGCGGGCTTCTATGGCCCAGCCTAGGGGCAGAGGCCAGGGCACACTCAGGCCAGATGTGTGCATGGAGGGTATGTGGCTTTCAAGACTGTCAGGCTCTGTATCCCAGCATCTGGAGTCTCCTTGGCAACCAGGATCCTCCCCCTTCTAAACTGCAAGGGAGACACTGAGGCAGGGATTGGCCAGAGCCAAGATTCCAGCCCTTGTGTATTAGGAATGGCTCTGCCTGGAAATGCCTTGGCAGGGAGGGAGGGTGAGGGCCTTGTGGATGGGGGCAGGGGCTCAGTCACCCAGTCTCTGGCTGCCCCTGTTGGTGACCACTTTCCTGAGGCTTAGGCCACTTTGGAAGCAGGTTTCTCCCCCATCCCTAGGTGGGGAAAGGCAGATGGACTCCTCCCTGGTTATGGCTCTTGCTGCCATGGGGGCAGTGAGGCTCCCCGAGGAGGAGCCAACAGCAGCCGCCATGTCTTTGTGCTGTCCTAGGAGAGGGGGAGGGAGGAGGACCCTTCTCCTTAGTGGGGTCTGGGGATGTCCCTTTCCTCTTTCCCCTGATGACGCAGCCTCACTCTGTGGGAACTTCCAGCCTCCTCCTCTCCATGTGGTGGTCTTGGCCCTCCCTTCCCCCTGAGCACTGTGGGGGAACGGTGCCTGCAGTGGGCGCCAATGGGGGCAGTGGTGTTAGTGATGAGAAGGACAGCAAGGTGCGGGCGGTGGGTGAACTCCCTACCACAGGGGTGGGCAGGGCCGGGCGGGGGGGGGGGGGAGGGTATCATTTGCTCTTGTGTGTATCCTTTAGCCGACGGAGCTCCTCTAGCAGCTGGGCTCGGGAGCAGCCATCATCGCCATCACCAGTGGGACCTGGGCCTGGCCCCAGAGCCTCCTGTAGTGCCAGGCAGTGGGTCCTCAGGAACGGGTTGTAGGAGCGCTCCTCTCCCAGGGTGGATGGGCACTGCAGAGCAAGAGGCACCAGGCTGGGTGGACAGAAGATGGGAAAGGGACCCAACACAGGCAAGCCTGCCCCAACTCCACCCTTGGGTCCAGGATTTCAGACTTGACTGGCCCAAAGCTTTGGGAGGTTCCCACAGGCCCAGGACCAGCTGGGCCAGGGGCATGCCAGGGCCCTGTCCAGAGCTCGCACCGTGCTCTTGCGCTCCATCCGCTGCCTCTGCACCCACTGCATCTTCCTCTCCCGGGCCAGGTTCTCTGGCTCCACCACGCCTGCGAAGCCCAGGTTCTCCTCTGCATACTCATGACCTAGCCACAGCCAGAGAGGCAGGGAGGCAGGGCACAGAAAGATGAGTGGCCAGGTCAGAAGGGCTCCATGCCCTGGCCCCGGGGTTCCTCGCAATCCTAGAGCAGGGCAGACTCCCCGGAGAACTCTGACCACCTAAACTGCTTCTCCAACTAGGCCCGCAAGTTAGCCAGTGGGAAAGAGTGCAAGGCAGTTCAGGGGCAAAACCTAGCTTTGGAGCTGGGAGGCCACCCTGTAGGCCAGCCAAATCCTAGTACCTATTTAAGCCACAGTTTCTTGTTTGGTAAATGGAGAAAACAGTAAGGGGACTGGACACCAATGTGAATGTTACGTTTCCATTGCTAAGGATGGGGCCTGGTACATAAAGGGTTTGCTGAATGAAAGGATATATGCTCTGAGGAGATATCTGTGAATGTTTTAAAGAAGTAAACACAAGGCAACAGACAGCATGCAGAGTGGACTGTCTTCTCAGAGTGGAAGCTGTTTTTTGCTTTGGGGTCTGACACGCTGGGTCCTGCAGGGCTCCTAAGAGGTGAAGGGCTCGCTGGCTAGTGGGGACAGTGGCATGAATGACAAGAAGCATCCTAGAGCCAGGACTGCAGCCCAGAAGAAGGAAGGATGGCAGCTGCTCCCCCTAACGCCTAGCGGTGGGGCGGGGCTCCTCTGGGCCAGCAACGGGGTTGGCTTGTTTCTGGGAGAGTGAGGTGCCAGGCAGGCCACAGAGCTGGGGGGAAGGGGTACTCACCAGGCCACAGCAGTGTATCATCCCCCAAGCCCAGCACAGTGTCCAGTGAGCTCAGCATGGTCTCTGCAGTACCCTCAAAGGTCCGTCCTGTGAGGAGTCCGGGATGCAAGGATGACACAATACAGTATAAGGTACATGGAGAAAGGAGAAAAACAGCTTGGGCAGCTCTGGTTGGCCATCTGCCCTTCCACTGTATCCTATCTGCCATCCCCAGACATCTGCTGTGTGTGTGTGCGCACGCGCGTGTGCGTGCGTGTGTATGTGTGTGTGTATGTGTGTGTTGCTCCTGGGGCTTGAACTCAGGGCCTGAGCACTGTCCCTGAACTTTTTTGCTTAAGGCTGTTGCTCTACTACTTGAGCCACAGCTCCACTTCCAATTTTCTGGTGGTTAACTGGGCTTGCTTCAAACTGTGATCCTCGGATCTCAGCCTTAGAAGTAGCTAGGATTACAGGTATGAGCCACTAGTGCCCAGCTTACTCCTTCCTTCCTTTTTTTTTTTTTTTTGCCAGTTCTGGGGCTTGAACTCAGGGCCTGGGTGTGTCCCTGAGCCTCCCTTGTGCTTAAGGCTAGCACTCTACCACTTGAGCCACAGCACCACTTCCGGCTTTTTCTGTGTATGTGGTGCTGAGGAATTGAACCCATGTGAAGCCATGTCCATGCTAGGCAGGCACTCTACCACTAAGCCACATTCTCAGCCCTATTCCTTCCTTATTGGGAGCTGTGCTCAATCAGTCACTCTCAGCATGAGGGAGATTCACTGCACACAATGGTGTGTGGGAGAGGGTCTGTGGAGTATTTGGGCTGAATTCCCACACACAAACTTGGAGGGGCAGAGATGCTCTTTTCTTTTCTTTTTTGCCAGTCCTGGGGCTTGAACTCAGAGCTTAGGCACTGTCTTTGAGCTTCTTTTGCTCAAGGTTAGCACTCTACCACTTGAGCCACAGCACCACTTCTGGCCTTTTCTGTTTATGAGGTACTGAGCAATGGAATCCAGGGCTTCATGAGTACTAGGCAAGCACTCTACCACCAAGCCACATTCCCAGTCCCATCCTATGAAATCTTGAGGACATAAAAACACAGTCAGGTGACACAGAAGGAAGAGCCTGCTGTAGTAATGTCAGCATTGAAACCAGTGTTTCCATGCATGGGACTCTGCCTGTCCTTCCAGTCCCCACTGCTGTCTCTTTTAGGGGAACTTACCACAGCCAGAGAGGAAGAGTAGGTCCCCTGAGAAGAGGCAAGAGGGACCCTTATAGGGCTCCCCATCCAGCAGGTAGACCAGATGGCCTTGTGTGTGGCCAGGGGTGGCCAGGGCCCGGATCTGGAGCCGTCCAACGCTGACCACATCTTGATGACACAGGGGGCTGGGCAAAGCAACAGTGGAAGGGAACTCCAGCTTGCACCACATTGATCCTGCTCCCACTCTAGGCCCGGGGCTGATGACTCACTGGTTGGGTTTCCACTCCAGGAAGAAGGTACCAGTGCCTGTGGTCTGGGATCTACTTTTTTTTTTTGGTCAGTCATGGGGCCTGAACTCTGGGCCTGGGCGCTGTCCCTCAGCTCTTCAGTTCAAGGCTAGTGCTCTACCACTTGAGCCACAGCACCACTTCCGGCTGTTTCTGCTTATGTGGTGCTGAGGAATTGAACCCAGGGCCTCATGCATGAAAGGCAAGCACTCTACCACTGAGCCACCTTCCCAGCCCCTGGTCTGAGATCTAAAGCCTCTCTTTTACTGTTCTGGGAACTGAGGCTGGCCTGTTGGGGCCAGGAAGTTCTCACTCAGTCATGTGCGCTGACATGTGCTAAGGGCCAGGAAGGAGGTCTGCCAAGTCCCGGCTGCTGATGGATACTCTGCAGGACTTAACTGAAGCTGGAGAAGTGACACAGGGCCCAGGAGGGTGACTCTTCCTGGGTGAAGGACTTACTGGGTGAGGTAGGGGATGCCATCCTGAGGGCTCCCATACACCCGACAGTCTCGGTGCCGCCGGCTGAGGTCCCGGTTCCCTCCACTGTGGTCCCTGCAGGGCAGCAGAGATGGGGGCTTCAAGGAGCAACTGTAGTTGAGACTCTGTCTTCCCTAGAGCCTCTCTGAGCCTTTATTCCTGCTGTTCCCTTGCCCAGAATGTCACTCTCTCAACTCCAACCTCCACCTGGCTGATGCCATCTGATCTGTCCAGACTCTCAGCTCTAGCCACCCTCAAATTCTTCCAGTGGAGCTGACCATACTCTCTGGTGCCCTTCCCCTGAACCTGGTATCACCTCCACTTCTATGTGCACGACTGGGAGATCTCTTCACTCAGGGCTGTCTCCCATAATGGACTTGGAGTTTCCCTGATGGGTGCACAGGCCTAGCACACATAGGCATGCCCTCGAGCGGAAGCTGCGTGGCTTCCCTGCCCGCCTCTGGGGCTCTGCAGCTGAGTGAGTGTGGTAGGGGCACCCCTTCACCTCCAGATGACTTCAGGAAGGCGGTGGTCGCACAAGCTTGACTTTCTCACGCCCCCACCCCACAGCAAGCCTCTCCAGGCTCAGGCTGGGTGGGCCAGAGGAGACGGCCTGCACCCGGAGCCATCCCCTTACCAGTGTTTGTGGGTGCAGAGTATGGCAACCAAGGTAACTCCTTCCTTTTCAATGGAAGCCTGGGGGAGAGAGGAGGTATTGAGTCTGGGAGCTGGATCTGATGAGGACAGGCGCAGAAGGGGACGGGCGGGAGGGGCTGGGTGGGGAACAGGGAAAGATGAAAAGAGAGGGGGGAGATGGAGCCAGACAATGAGTGGGGAAGGAGGTGGGACATGGGGGAGGATGGGGAGGTGGGAGGAGAAAGTCACATGCAGAAATAAGAAAGGGAGCTGAGGGTGACGCTTAGTGGTCCACTGCTTGCCTCGTAAGCTAAGGCCCTGGGGTCATTCTCAGCACTGTGTAAGGAAAACAGAAAGAAAGAAACAGCGAAGAAAGATGGCTTAATGTGAGGGCAGGGGGGGCCTGAAGAGGGTGAGAGACAGCCTGGAAACTGAGTAGATCCACAGTCCTGAGCCAGCACCCCCACCCCAGCCTCTATGGTCTGTGCCTCTGACTCTAGCCCCCAAACCACACCCCTCCCCCAGGTCATGTTTAGGTAGCTACTGGGTGTGCATGCACACAGAAGGGCACATCCATGGGCAGAGAACCAGGGTCAAGTCCTCTGTCAAGGGGAGCTGCCAGTTCCCAAAGGTCACTCCAGATGCCCCCACCCAGCTCTCCTCTCACCTGCACAGCCCGAGGATCTGAGGGGTCCACAGCCACAGCCAGCCGGGCCTGGGTGTCAATGATGAGGTAGCTGTAGTTGTCGGAGAGGACAGGGATGGGAAGCACCTTCACTCCTGGGGACAGAGGCACACAGAGAGGCTGTGGGCAGGGAGCCCAGCGGGTGGGCAAGCAGAGGACAGGGGCTGGGAGGTGGGCCTGGGCCAGCCATGCTCACCATTGAAGAGGCGGGGCTGGGTTTTGGAGTGGCCTTTGGGGTAGCGATTCCGAGCCCTGCGCAGCTGCTGTCGGTAGAAGAGATATCCAAGCCAGGTGCGGGTGTACAGGCTGTACCTGAGGGTGGACAGTCTGGGGTCAGCCCACCTTCAGCTCTCTAGGCCCCCTGGTGCCTGCAGGCCACCCTGCGTCCACACACTTCCACTGTCACCTACTGTGCGCCTACTGCTCGCCTGCTCAGTACAAAGCCTGGCTCTCACTTTCCACTGGGCCTCACACATCCTGTAGCTTAGCCCTGCCAGCACTGGAAGGAGCTGCCTTGGACTCTTCTCTCACAGAAGAGAAACTGAAGCAGGGATGGGATTGAGTTAGTATCTAGAATTATACCCAAGCCAGTCAGAAAACAACATAAGGCATCCTGAGATACAAAGGTAGAGTGGAGGAGGAGGAGGAGGAGGAGGAGGAGGAAGATGAAGAGATGAAAGAGAGGTAAGAGAGAAGGAGAGGGAGAGGGAGAGGGAGAATAAGTATAGGAGAGGGAGGATGGCTTTGCCCCTTAAACAAAGTCTAGCTGATTTAGCTGATGTCTTCTACAATTTGGCTCAAACCAAGTAGATTCCCATGAGGATGTGGCAGTAAAGAATTGGCTAAAATTTAACCATCGCCCTGGGCTCCATGGGCTCCTGTACTGGCATTAGTAATCATCCTTGTATCCTGTGTCCTTTTCTCAGAGGCCCTCTATTTTTCATTCAGTTACCAACTCAGCCCCTCATACTTTCATTTCCCCAGCAATGTTTATTAAGGCCTGGCTGTTGGCCGGACCCTGTGCCCATTGTTCTAAGTAGGGGAGGCAGGATAAAAACCAGTACAAATGAACAAACAAGGCAGGAAAAGGATAGAGAATAAAGACAGGGCTGCTTTTTTCGATACAAGGCACAAGGAAAGGGAGTCTCTGTGAGGAGGTGATATGTCCAGGCAGAAGGGACAGATGAGGTGAGTGGGAGGGAAAGACCAGCCACGTGGAAGAACTGAAGGTGAGCACCGCTGGTGAGTCAGCAGGAACATGGTAATGCTTTGTATGCTGTGTTGTAACCAAGTTAGTGCAGCAGAGACAGCCAATGAGATATATCATAAAGCAATCCCCGGCCCGGTGCCAGTGGCTCAGGCCTGTAATCCTAGCTACTTAGGAGGCTGAGATCTGAGGATCACAGTTCAAAGCCAGCTTGGGCAGGAAAGTCTATGAGACTCTTATCTCCAAGAAACCACTCATTGACACTGTGGCTCAAGTGGTAGAGCACTAGCCTTGAACTGAAGAGCGGAGGGATAACACCCAGGCCCAGAGTTCAAGCCCCATGACCAAAAAAAAAAACAAAAAAATCCCCTTGTACAACTAAATTATGCTGAGAGAGACACAGACAGACACAGAGATACAGGAGAGAGAAAGAGAGAGAGAGATCTGAGCTGGGTGCCAATATAGCTCGTTTCTAATTCCAGCTACTCAGGAGGCTGAAATCTGAACACTGCATTCAAAGCTAGCATGGGCAAACAAATCAGATACTATCATCTCCATTTAACTAGCAAAAAGCTGGAAGTGAAGGTATGGGTCAAGAGGGAGAATGTAAGAGCTGAATGGAAAAAAACTAAGTAAAGGCAGGAAGGCCTGAGTTCAAGCCTCACTATGGGCACAAAAGAAAAGAAAGAGTGGGGGGGGGGGGGGGGACACAGACAGAGAGGAAGGAAGGGAATGAGAGGATTGAATGAAACTTAAATGTCCATGATGAGATTGCAAAAATTGTTGAAGCTAAACATATATTTTCCCTACAACCCAGCCATACCACACCTGGGCATCTACCCAGAACATTACAAGCCAGGATACCATAAGGACCCTTGCACATCCATGTTCACTGTTGCACTATTCACAATAGCTAAGTTATGGAAACAGCCCCAGTGCCCTACAATAAATGAGTAGATCCAAAAAATGTGGTACCTATACACAATGGAATTTTACACAGCATTGGAAAGAATAATATTTGGTCATTTGCAGGGAAATGGATGGACCTAGAATAATCATGTTAAGTGAGGTAAGCCAAGCTCAGAGAGGCAAACAGTGTGTTTTTTTCTCATATATGGAAGCCAGATCTAAAATACACTGGGACATGATAAATTATACAGGTCTTCAGGCATAGTGAGATCGAAGGAGGATGCTCTTAGGAGAGGAGCACAAAGGCACATAATGCCTATGTGCACCTGATCATATAACATTTATTGAAATGGACTCCAGGAAATGGAAACAAGAGGCTTATTCTTTGTTGCTGTTTTTCTTTCTTTCATTCTTTTTTTTTTTTTGTCTTGTTTGTCTGTCTGTCTTTGGGAGGGTAAGGGGAAGCACAGAAATGGAGGGAAGAAGGGTGAACAAATGCAGCAGTGGTACTCACTAGACACTATGCTAAAAATGAATACAACTGTGGGTAGGAACAGAAGGAAAATATACTCTTTACCTGAATCATGTAACTATAACCCCTCTGTACATCGCCTTTATAATAACAATTAAAAATTATAGTTGAAAGTCCTTTTTTGTTAAGAAAAAGATCATGCTATATGCCAGTGGCTCATGCCTATAATCCTAACTACTCAGGTTCAAAGCCAGCGAGGGCAGGAATGTCTGTGAGACTCATCTCCAATTAACCACAAAAAGCCAGAAGTTAAGCTGTGGCTTAACTTGGTAGAGTACTAGCCTTAAGCAAAAAAGCTCAGGGACAACACCCAGGCCCAGAGTTCAAGACCAGGACCAGAAAAACATTATATTTTGATGCATCGATATGGAAAAGAAACTGCATTCTTCAAAGTGGTCTTCATTGGTGAAAATACCTTTGTGCTGAGGACAGAATCCGGGGCCTCATGTATACCCTAGGCAAGCACTCTACCTCTGAGTGACCCCTCACTTCCACTGGATCCTGAATCGTTCCTTTATGGTTCCTTTGCATGTCTATATTTTATTATTATTATTATGAGCATGCAACAGAGTGGAGGGAGGGTTAGTACGATAAAGGGGGACTCTAAAAGATCCCTATGGTTCAAGAATAAGATTATCCTCCCCAGGGCTGGGAAGGTGGCTTAGTGGTAGAGTGCTTGCCTAGCATGCATGAAGCCCTAGGTTTGATTCCTCACTACCACATACACAGAAAAAGCTGGAAGTGACTTCAGTGGTAGAGTGCTAGCCTTGAGCAAAAGAAGTTCAGGGACAGTGCCCAAGCCTTAAGTTCGAGCCCCAGGATTGGGGGGAAAAATTATCTTCCCCAACTTAAAAAAAATTGCCCATATGATCGAACACTCAGGTGTTTTATTTGTTTGTTTTATTTTGTACTTTCTTTTCTTTCCTTCTTTTTTTTTTTGGTGCTGGCATTGGGGTCAGAACTCATATTCTCACTCAGCTTTTTCACTCATAGCTCTCACTCTGAGCTAAGCCTCAGTTCTGTGTGTGTGTGAGTGTGTGTGTGTGTGTGTGTGTGTGTGTGTGTCTCAGTTGTGGGGCTTAAACTCAGGGGTTAGGCCAGGTGCCAGTGGCTCATGCCTTGTAATCCTAGCTACTCAGGAGGTTGAGATCTGAGGATCACGGTTCAAAGCCAGCCTGGCTCAAAGCCAGCTTGGGCAGGAAAGTCCGAGAGACTCTTAAATTAGTCCACCAGAAAACCAGAAGTGATACCATGGCTCAAGTGGTAGAGCACTTGCCTTTAGCTGAAGAACTCAGGGACAGCTCCCAGGCCCACGACCAACAAAAAAAGAAAAAGAAAAAGAAAAAGGAAATACTATCAAAAAGGGGAGGGGGAGCAGATACACAAGAACTAGCCATATAAACTTAAGGACATATTAAAGGGGCTGAGAAGGTGGCTCAGTGGAAGAGTGCTTGCCTCATAAGCATGAGGCCCTGGGTTCCATTCCTAAGCTCAAGTAGTAGAGCACCTTGAGCTGAAGAGCTCAGGGACAGTGCCCAGCCCCAGAGTTCAAGCCCCATGACCAATTACCGCCCCCCCCCCAAGACATATTAAAATTGCAAAAATTGTTCCAAATGTGCCTTGAGCCTTTGAACTCTCTTGGAGAGGACAGAGCGAGCAGATTAAGTTGAGTGGAAGAAGTGTGTGTCACAAGAGATTTTTCTGTCATGATGAACACAGGGCTACTTTCTTCCTCTTTCCTTCTCTCTCCAACCAGTCACCGAGGCCCAGCAGTAGGCAGTTCTGGAGAGCAAGACTGAAATAGACAAGGTTGCTGCCCTCCTCGCATCTGTTCTACAACAGTGGACAAATGCAAGGTTGTGAGCTATTATGAAGACAGCAAACCTTTTCTAGGCTGGAGAAAGAGCTAAGCTCAGATGGCTCATATGCCAGCTGCCTCTTTTTTTTGGGGTGGGGGGTCCGGTCGTGGGGCCTGAACTCTGGGCCTGGACGCTGTCCCTCAGCTCTTCAGCTCAAGGCTAGCGCTCTATCACTTGAGCCGCAGCACCACTTCCGGCTTTTTTGTTTTTGCTTATGTGGTGCTGAGGAATCGAACCCATGCCTCAGGCATGCAAGGAAGCGCTCTACCACTGAGCCACCTTCCCAGCCCCTGCCAGCTGCGTCTTGCCCACATGGTTCTGAGCCCCAAAAGCCTGGAGGATCTGGAGAACAGCCAGAGGACACCAGGGCCCCGGCATCCTGGCCTGCATGTCTTCTCTTGAGCAAGTCCCTTTAGCTGGTGTACTCTTCTTCCCTTTCCTGCTTAGGTTCTGCCCTATTTCTAACCCCCGCTCCTCCAGAAAGCCTTCCAGACCATCTGAGCTTCTCTTTCTTACCCTGTTCTGAACATACAGCACTAAGAGTTTAACACCTGGAAACTGGGCAAGTCACCCACCTAGGATAAGAAAGAGGATATCTGCATAATTTCAAAGTATCTCCTGAAGAGATTAGTTAGCCAGCAGCTGAGAAACCTGGCTGACTTCATCTGAAATCAGTGGCCAAGGTTAATCTCAGGTCTGAGAGTGTAGCTCCCTTGCAGTTGCTTGCCCAGCATGTATGAGTACCAGTTCCATTCCCCCTACCACAAAAAAATTAATTAGCAGTTTTATAAATAAATATACACAC